CCTCTTAATGCTCCCTGTACTCGATAAAGGAGAATTATCAGTCCTTTTACAGACTTGCTGGTGGGTTTCATCCAAGTTACTTGCAACTATCTGAGGGTAAATTGGTCAGGTTTGTTGCACTGGTTGGACTGGGTCTGTGTGGTGTAACAGTGCAGTATCTGTTCAGGATTTATCTGCAGCCTGTTTGATGACAATCAGCTGAAATCTCATTAGTGCATTTCTCCTGTGTAACTCTTGATATATGTGTGATTTCAGAACTCGGCAGTCAGTCACACAAGTAAAGCAAAAAAGAAATTTGTGAAAGTTTATTGGGTTGCTCCTGGAGATGCACCAAAACATGTACAGTTCCTGTAAGTAAATTCAGTATTACTTCTAATTTATTAAAAAACAAGTCAGACAAACCTGTAGTGTTATGTCTGCTGCAAATAAGGATTGGAAATTGAGGTGCATCTTTAGACCTTTGGCCTGAAGAGTTGACATTGTTTTACCCACTTTGAATTCTGAATTAGTGTAGATCGTTCTTACAGAAAACTTGGAGGTGATCACTTTGTGATGGTCACTCTCAAAGGTAAAGCTAACAGCTACTTTTTCATGAGGCTGTGACTTGTGCCACAGGGATAAATCTGTTTCTTTTATCCAGAAGCCCATGTAGTGGGGTGTTTAAAGCTTCTTTTCCACAGAGGCTTCAGGAATTTTCCTACTTGAAATGGCCAAATCGCACTATGTTAACGGGTATGCATCTGGTGATTTTTTCGTTGATTAAAAACAGACAAATATGCTGTACAAACTAAAAAGCTTTGTCCTGTCCTTACCCTTTCTTCTCCCCCACCCTATTTTATTTCTTTACTTAGAGCCACAGTTGTGAAGAAATACAAGACTTTCTGGGTAAAGATTCCTGGTGCCATTGTTTCTCAGCCTAATGCACCATCCCCAACAACACCCTTTCATAAAACATCAGAGACTGTATCTACTTCGCATCCAATTTCCTACTTAACAAAGCCAGTAAGTAATTATAAAGCCAAATAATATTGTCTTTAATGCTTGCAGTCAATGGGATTTAATTATATCAGTGGGCTTTAATACAGGATTTTGTCTCTATCTCTGGGATGGCAGAAAGGGAAAGATGATGGATGCATAATCTATGTATCAGAGATTAAGTGCATAGACAGAGCTACTCTTCAAATACAGTTGTGCAAACTTGTGCGAGTTAAACACTCTCATGTTTCATAGAACAAAAATCTCAATTTATCCACCCTTAAGTCATTAGCTAAAGTTAGGCATATGTGGGAATAGATATGTGAAGTTCTGTAGTCATGTATCCTATTTATTACTGTTTAGTGGCTGCAGCCTCAGAACCTTCCTTTTTTGAGTTTATCTGTGTCACTGAATTTCACATTCTTAATTCAGTTTTAATGAATTGATCAAGCATTATTATTATTTGATGTCACAGCGTGATATTAATCCACATAACATCTCATTGCCTATCAATGGAGTTATTACTTTTAAAAAGAGAACAAATTTTTTTCTCATCTTTCCTTTATCTCTTCCCTCATTCTACAGTTCATTTTTATTTCTCTAAAGAAGAAAATTGAGGGAACTTTCTTCAAAGAGTTTGGCTTCCTTTTCAAAATTATCTTTCTCTTACGGTTTCTTTAAAGTGAAAATTCAGCTTAAATAAAATACAACGTAAAATTAACCATTGTTTCATTTGCTGCTCCTGGGGTAATTGCAGAAACGACTTGAGATAGGTATGTGGATGCTGATGGGGATTTTTTTGCTTATATGCTTTCTTCTAGAACAGGGTGGAAAAAGAAAAGGAAGAGGGAATATGTGGGTTTTTTCTTTTCTTTTTTAAAATCTGATTTATTGCTTATTTGCTTAATTGTCTAGTTCAATGCGTCAGGTTGTGGAAATACCAAGTTCTGCGTTAGGAACCCATCAAGCTGTGATCCTGAAAGTGCATCCTGTTTTTTTCTGTCCTTCCGACAAGAGAAGAGTTCAGTGCTCATTGAAATGAGTGGTCCCAGTGAGGGATATTTAGCCTTTGCATTGTCCCATGACCAGTGGATGGTGAGTGTCCCATTCTCCTCCTGTATGGCCTAAGCTCAGGACTCTTTTTTTTTTTTTTTTTTTTGTGGTAGAGTTCCCCTGTGGATATGTCTTGGCAGAATGCTTCATAACCTGACAGTAGCAGACTGGCTTGCAGCTTGCCTTTCTTAATTCCCTAGCCAGAAAAACCCTCCCTGAACTCTTCTTCAGAAGCTATGTTGCACTGAGAACCGTTGTATAGGAATTACTCTATCCAGTCTTAAAAGCAAAACTTGAGATCCTTTTTTTTTTTTTTTTTTTCTAATTGGTATTAAATTGAAGGCACAATTGTTGACAAATGCATAGTCACAGCTATGCTAAAGTAACAGCTGTGCAGAGGAAAATGCTGTCTATGTTGACATTCCTGATATGAGAATCATTGCTTTTTTGTGCCTTTACAACTATAAGACAAATACCTTTTTTAAATAAAAACTGATTTTTATTTTTATTTATAACTTCAACCTCTGTTTCTGTCTTACTTGGTTAATTTAATAGAATCTATAAATGGTTAAATAAACTTCTGATAATGTTGAAGAGACTCTGAGGGAAGGAAAATTGTAGTTTACCCGTGTCATCTGTTTGACTTATGTTCTCTCTGTAACATGGGTGTGTTTGAAAGGTGGCAAATGATAGCTTAATATGAGTATTCTCTTAGGTCTTTGTTAGATCGTTGATTAGAACTCTGTGCTTGCTGTATTGGTTAACACAAAGTGCATTTGGACACTATCACTAGAGATTTGTTTTGGGCTGTAAACATATATTTATTTCATTTTTCTTTTTAAACTCTCCAGGGTGATGATGATGCATATCTGTGTGTTAATGAGGACCACCATGTTAGCATAAGCACTGGCTACCTGAAGGAACGAAGTCCTCCTGTTTTGGATTCAGAGGTATTTTGAAAACTACTAAAACTTTCATGATTGTAGATTTGAGGTAGCCAGCCATATGTTGCTGCTTTGTGTCTTTATTTAACACTGCAACTGTAAATAGTAAGATGAATTCATAATTCTTTATGCTAAGAATAGTCGTGCTCTTTCTTCATAAAAAATATTTCCTATGGAAGTCTATTTTAAGAATAGTCATCTGATGGGAAGTTTATGCTGCTGAGTAACTTTGTGCATGTTATTACTGGTGCAGTAGTCTTCCTTTACTAGGGTTGAACATGGAATCTATATTGCATTAAAGATTGGAAGTGGAATAGGGATAGTTGTTGTGAGCAGGAAAATGCTCATAAAATGCTCCAACCTTATGTTGCGAAGTCCAAACACTGACTGGATAGGTAATGAAGAATTCCATTTGCCTATTTGAAGTTTTAAATGGTTAATGTCTGCTCTTTCACAGAACGCCCTTGAAGATGTGTCATGGAGGCTTGCAGATGGTGTTCTTCAGTGTTCTTTCAGAAGGAATATTCATCTTACTGCTCATAAAGGGAGGTTTAATCTGAATGCCAGTTACTACATCTTTCTGGCAGATGGGGAAGCTGGTGAAGGTAAACTTGCATTGCATATGCTTGGGTTTCCTTGAATAGCTCTGAACAAGACCTGCTTATGCTAAGGTCAGGTGTAGCTTACCTGAGAATTAGCATCTGAACTAAGAACTCTAGTTTTAAGCCTGAGTTAAGCACTTGGTCCAGTCATCTCTGCTTCCTGTCTGAATCAAGGGTTTGCTTTAGGAGATTGAAGTAGACTTACTTATGTGTGTTGTTTGCCTACTTGATGCTAGCAAGCTTTGCCTAATTGAGAGAACTGATCATAGCTTTCTAAAATGGAGATTATTCTTCACACGCTGTGTATGTAGTGGAGAAAGCTAAAATTCCTGCTATATTACATGTCAGAAGTTGAGCTAACATGTTATTGTTATCCGTGATCACAACAGGACTTGGATTCATAAATAAGAGGTAGGTTTGTCTTAAAAGTGCAGTGATGTTCATCAGCTGTAAATAAACCTCTCTGTATCCCTGCTTAGGAGGACTAATACATAAACATCATCGTCAGCCTCTGATCACCAGTGGAACATACAATATCACAGGCCTCCCACAGGATATTGGAGGCTCCCGCTCACCTCAACTTATCAAGACTCATGGTAAGCAGAAACTTTTACCTTCTACTTCCAGTTCTACATCTACCAGAATTTCCTCTGATCTGTCTGGCACATGCATTAAATATTCTGTTGGTTAGCAAGATCTGAGACCATAAGAACAGAGTAAAGTTGTTATTTGTAAGTTTTACTTTTCAAGAACAGAGTTATAAGATTCTCTTTGCCCAGGAAATTGAGCTTATGTTTGCCTTTCCTCCTAGTTCGATAATTAGGACTTGTTTCTGTTTGCCACTCTCTGGTTTTGTTTTAGTTGTGTTATTGTAGTTTAATTGTATTTGAAATGAGAAACACTTCAAAAGATAGTCTGGAGCCACTGAAGATAATGGGAGTTTTTTTTTTTTTTTCATTTTTCTTTATGATACTAGACTTTGAGCAAAGGCCATGAAATAATTATCACTCGTTCTTTATGAGTGAGAGCTTGCTGTAAATGTTGTTTTTCATCCTCTGACTTGTAAAGGTGGTGACAACTTCAATTCTTGTCTTTCCTGCTGGTGGTGCTGCAGTGCATTAAATGTGCATTTGTCAGGGCTGCTCTCTTGCACTGTGTGGGCATTTTCTAATTCTCTCTTGTATGGATATTTCTGCCCTCTGATTTGGTGAATGCTATGAAGTTGTAGTCTGAACCAGGTGATAAAAACTTAACACTGGTAAATTCTGATCATATGCATACAATTTCAAAGAGTGTGTAATGGTGAGGTCTGTAGCCATGTACAGCTAAATTACTTATGTTTACTTTGATCATATTCCTCTTGCCCCCTTCTATTTTCAGGTGTTCTAATGTTTGTTGCGTGGATTACTACAGTTAGCATTGGTGTTATTGTTGCACGATTCTTCAAGCCTGTCTGGTCTCATTCATACCTGTTTGGAAAGGAGATGTGGTTTCAGGTGGGCAAAATATCCCTCAGGTCCCTAGCTCTCTTGTAAACAGTTTTAAAACCTACTAGATTGAAGAAACAGGAGATCAACCTTAGTGTGTATTTATCTTTCCTTAGTCTTTTAAAACTAAATAAGTAGCAAACAAAAGTTTACTTACTTCAGTATAGACAAAGTCTAAAGAGGATTTTTTTTCTTTACAAATCTATTGTATTTTAATACTCTATTGAGAAAGCTGCGGAGTTTCTAAAAGCAAACTTCACTTTCTAGGTACATCGTATGCTTATGCTGACCACAGTCATGCTTACAAGCATTTCTTTTGTTTTGCCTTTTATATACCGAGGAGGATGGAACAAAGTAAGTGGTGGCTTTCTTTTTTTTTTTTTTTTTTTAACTTTAATTTAGTCCAACCTTTAAATTTGCATTTACTGAAGTAAGAGTAGTAGATTCATTGTTGGATTTAGCATATAAATTAAGGTATGATTAGAACATGAAGGGTGAGAGCAGAGTTCAATACTTACTGATTGTTAAGAATCAGGCCTTCCCTGAAGAAGCAGGATTGAGGTTGAAAAGCTTAGAGCAACAGCTGCTGCAGTCATATTCCTATTTGTTGTTCAACTGGTAGAATTTCTCCATATAGTAAAAAGGTGAAACAAAGTGCCCATGGGCTTCTTCTGCCAGCATCTTCTGTTGCCAAGGAAAACTAACTGCATCCAACTGCTGGACAGCTTATTGTATCCTGTAGCTACTGCTAATATAAAGGCAGTGCTGTTCCACCATTACAAATGAACTCTAAATTATTTTGGATATTTTTCTGTGTTTTTATAGAGATATGATACTAAGGAAAAATGTCCCCTGTTTAGCAAGCAGGTTTTCATCCATACCTCGGCTGTACTGTGATGGCTCTGGCAATTTTTCAGCCCCTTATGGCAGGTTTCAGACCGGCTCCACATGCACCAAGGTACTCAGAATTAGCTGATTAAATTATAGCTTATTAAATCATAGAGATAAAATTTAAATATCCACATTTTAGTGAAAGTTTTCTTTTCTGTTCTTATCTACTTTAAATGTACGTTTTCATTTGACAGTGTTATTTTTTTACAGACTAAGTAATGGATGAAATGTTTTCCTTTTTTAATAGGAGGCAATTGTTTAACTGGTTTCACTGGAGTACTGGTACAACAGCTAGAATACTAGCTGGTGAGTAGGAGTAATAGCTGTAACTCCTTTTTAAGTGATTTGGGGTGATGCTTTTTCATAACATCCTCTACCTCTAAACATGAAGTATAGATATTCTCTTTTCTTGCTGGCTGTCCCGTTTCTTGCTGGCTGCCTTCTCTGTGAGTTTCAAGTGGCCATCAGATGTGACATTAGGAATATAAGTGGCTCAGTAACACCACAGAGATTGCAGACAAATCTGGGGTAAATCTTTGTTACAAGGACCTGTTTTGATTGTTTTTCCTTTCAAATATCTCTTTCTTGGAAAATTTGTGGGTATTGTTCTTACAGTAACACACTTCAATAATTCAAGATTATTTAGTGGGAGAGGGAAAATTCACTCACCAAACCATAATTTGGACATCTTTCTATTTTTGGAGACAAGCATCCCCAAGCAGCTTAAGCACTTAAAATTCAGGTGGCTGCGGTCTTGTTGACAAGTCACAAATGCTAGTGTTGATGTGACTGTGTAAGGGACTGATCACTGAAAACTGTCCTGATCTCCTGCTTTCCATCTATTCTCTTCCATTCCTCCTTGTCAATTTGGAGCAGTGTCCTTAATCTTTCTCTGTTTTTTAATCTTATTTTTCCTCGCTAGTTGTGACTATGTTCTTGGGAATGGATCTACCAGCACTTGACCTCCCAGACCCATGGGATACCTATACAATGTTTGGTTTTGTAGCTTGGCATGTTGGAATTGATGTTCTTCTGGAAATACACAGCTACTGCCTCATACGTAAAGGTACAAACCCAACAAATCTCCTGATGACTTGTTTGCTGAGGATTGCAAAATGCAAAAATATTACTTCAGTGAAATGAATTTCAAAATATGCCTGCTGGCCTCTACCTTGAAAGCTGAGAGGAATATCTCAAGTGATGATGTAATGCTTCTGTACAAAGTGATTTTAAGATCAAAATATTACAGGAAGACTTTTTAATGCCATTTTAAACAGTGCTCTTTTTATCACAGTATTTAAGTACAGATGGAACATGTTTATGTGTAAGAAGATTTATTCCAAGAATCTGCCATTACTTGCCATTATCTGATGCTGGCTGGGTTGATAGAGCATAGGTTAATTTATGAAGATTTAACATGCATGTTATTGTTACAGATTGCTGGTATGAATAACATGTTGCATGAGTGAAATACTGCAAAGAGATGACCAGGAAATTAAGCACAAACAGTTGAAACTCTGATTGAAGGGGAGCTTAGGTGAAAGCCTGACTCCAGCTTTAGTAGTAAAGGATCAGAATTTCATTGGAAATTCTTAGCCTCGTCTAGAGGAGATCGCTGTGCACATGTTAACCTGTATCTGGACACATCTGCAGAACTGAAGTGATTAGTTAAGAGATTGTGCAAAGTGGCATATGGATAAAGAACAATTAGAGAAGATAGGAATTTAAATTGGGCTGCACTAATGCAATCCTAGAAAGAGAGGATTTGGTGTGAAATGTTTGAACAATGACTATTCTTTGCTAATGGAACAAATGCCTTGTTCAGCTTAAAACTAAGTGTTTTGATTATTTGCCGTAGTTAAAGAGGAGACAAAATGTTTTTCAGGTCAACTCAAAAGCATTAATCACTTTTGCTATGAATATAATGGAGATCATGACAGGCCAAACATGCTTCTTCCAAATGCTATTCAAAAGCTGATTTAAGATGTATTCTTTGACTAGGTGCTGTTTAGGATTGAATTACTTAATTGAGAAATAATCAAGAATCAAGAGTTCTGCAATATAAAACTGACTTCCTCTTAAGAGGAGAGCTAACTCTACTTTTTTCCTTCCCCCTAACAGTTGAAGTGATAGAGGATGACAGAATACAGATACTGCAGTCGCTCACATCTGCAGAAGCAGAGGCAAGTCACCATTTTGTAAATACTACTCTGAGATTATATGGTCTTTTGTTTTAAAAAAAATGACACTTTTGTGACTTTTTTTCCCCCTCCTTTTGCAGGGTCACCTGTTTAAACAGATCGTGCTAACCATCTATGTCTGTGGAAATATAGTGTTCCTCATTGTCTTCCTGATAGCAATCAACCAAATCTGAAATTAGTCCATCCAGGAAAGTCTTCAAGAGTTTTGCAAAGAAATATTTTTCCTCCCTGAAGATGTAATAGAAGAAAAATAGTGCATGAGCATCATGCTCAGTGTTAGGGAGAATTGCATTCAAATCTACAGAAGGATCCTGCCGTCCTGCCAAAGCTGTCTCCTTATGTGATTTTTAGAGTGAGTCTTTGCTTGAGTAAGGAATAGTGTTTATATTTTAAATGCAGTAATTTTTGTGATCACCGTTAAGAAGTGTAGAAAGCTGAGATGTTGTGCTACAAACACTGTTTTAATAGTCACAGTTCTCTAAGCCTTTTGTGAATATTACAGAGAAAACTGAAAAGACTCATCCCAGATAGTTCATCTCTGTTCACTTGCATTCTAATGGCATGTAATGGAACAACTTGCTTGTGCCTTAAAAAATAGAGGAAAAACTGTGACAATTGCAGGTGGATGCATTAGATCGATACTGTCATGTGTCTTTGCAGTTAAATGCAAAAATTATTCTCTCTGCTCTGAGAGCAGTACAAATAGAAGCAAATGGATTTGGGAACTTCAGTCCTTTATTAAAGCCACCCTTTGCATCACTAATAAAACACTGCTCTGTCCCCCCAGTGCTTCTAAACCATAAAGAGCAAATATATCTGCAGTGCAAGTGCAGTATAAACTAGTTGTGCTGATTAAAAACAAACAAACAAACAAAAAAAAAACAACAAAAATTATCAACCCTCTTCCCTCCCTAGCTGTGTGCCCCGCTCCCCCCCCCCCCCAAAAAAAAAAAAAATCAGGAATTATCGTTTCTGTCTGTCCACTTGTGATTTCTGAATTACTTTTCTGAATGAGTGCGATGGACTTAGGCCGCTTGTTGCCTAAACAGAGGGGAGAACGTTTGCTCAGTAATGTTGCAGTTGTGTTTGACTGTACTGTTGAGTAAAATGGAGATTAGGAGTTAGCTTGACTTCAGGAAAAGTTCTGACAGTGTTCAATGAGAGTCCTCTGAGCTGGCACATTTTGAAGACTTAAATGTCCTTATAAAAATGTGGGAGGGCATTTTTAGTCACTAAGTTTTATCTAAATAATGGGAACTAAGAGCAGGGAATGGAAAGAGACTGTTCTTTAATTTGCTCAATTAAGGAAACTTTTTACAGAGAATCTCAGAGGTACACCCATAATATGTCATGCAGTACAGGGCTTTGCAGGCAAAGCTGAACACATAGGTATTCTTGCAGCCCTAAACAGTTTGCTTCCACATTTTTCTTACTATTCTTGTTAATCTTGAAAGTGCAGCAGTCAAATAAAACTGTCCTTTCTTAATTGATTTAGCTGTAGCACCTTGGAATCTGATTTCAGCCAGGGGCTAGTGAGCTAACTGGAGAAAAGAGGTGCTGGGGGAGCTGAATAGGATAGTGGAGATGGAGCCTGGCTTGGCATGGGCCTTTTCAGCAACATCCTTCTGCTTCCTGATGAACTGGTCTAAAATACTGATACATGTGGGTCAGGTAGTGGTTCTCTGTTTAATTACACTGTCTTCTGCACCTTTCTCCACTGCCCCAAATCCACAGTGCAGCTAGCTGCAGAAGCAGTTCTACAGCAAGCTCCAAGGCCATGTCCTCTTATCTTGGCTGCTCCAGGAACCAGGGTAGGTATGAGAGCATGTCCAGAGCTGTGATTAATCCTGTTGTAAGCGGCAGCTATAGGCCGTGAGTGGGTATAAGTTAAGTTGTCCTCTTTCCTCTCAGCTGGAAAAATCATTTGTAGATAGAGAAGGTGATACTATGAAGAGCTATGTCAAGACCTAGGCTGAAAGGCGAGAACTACATGGTTAATCATGTGGAGTTTCGTTGGTGGATGCATTTTTTCTCATGTGGTGTTTTTTTTTTTTAAGCAAGGTTTTGTATGCAAGTTTATAGAAGAGAATCTTTGAATCCTGGACACGATTGGTGGCTTTTTATATTAAAGTCAATGCCAAATTCTTTCTGTAATTTGATTGTGTTGTGCTGTATTGTTCTTCTGTGACAATAAATACAGAAGTTTTAAAACATGAATGAAAATACCTGAATTGAAGCTATTTTGGCTCTTACTTGGACGAAAACTGTCATGTAAAAACTGGAAGGAATAGCCTTGCATAGCAGCAAACAGGGATTGTCCATTTGCTTTGTAAATGCTTATTTTCTAAATTAAAGCCATCTAGATGTACCCTGCAGAAACTGCTATTGCAAATGAATGTTAAAGTAGTTACACTCTCTTGTGCAATTGCTTTTTGTCAAGAGGGAAAGATTCTTGTTTCAAATTTAATCCCAGCTATAAAGATGAAAAGCTGTTAGTTGCTCTCTTTTTTGTTTTTCTTTCCTAGTACTAGGTTGTGAAGTCTTATGCAGTGTTCTGCCATATCTGATTAGAAGCTTTGTGAACTATGATGTATGCATGGAGGTTTTTCTCCGCATGCGTGATGAGTAAGAGAGAGCAATCTTCTAGGGACGCTCCCCAAACTCCTTGTTTCTTCTCAAAAACAAGCTAAATGAAAAACACCTGTGGAATGTTTGATATCGGCAGGAAAAAGGATGACAGGCAGTTTGGTTCTGGAGCCCCTGGTAGCTGCTATATCCTTTCCCCCCTACTTCACTGACTGGTAACTTAAAATACTATTCAGGAGAAAATAAGTGTTTGCTGCACAGAAAGAAAACCTGCTGAAGTTGATAGGACTTCTCTGGGGGAGAAGAAAGGTTTTGGTGTTGTTCTGCTGTTGTGGTAACCTTGTGATGATGAATCAACGTTAACCTATCTCTTCCTGTGTTCTTCTAGACAGAAGAATCCTTTCAGTAAAGCAGAAATTTGTTCAGGATTAGCGTCACCACAAGAAGTTTACAAACAAATTATATTTTGAGTTGTTATATGCAGCCTCAATATGCTGCTTATCTGCCTTTGTCTTATGCAGAAATCCTATTTTTTGGCATGTGCTTCAGATGAAAGTGATGCAAATAACTTGAGTGCAATTTAATTGACTTTTACTTTGCTTTAATCAATGACAACTTTTTTGGTAGTGGACATAAGGACTGTATAATAAACTAAAAAAAAAGTGGACCTTTTATCTCTTCACACATTGGACAATTAAAACTTCCTCTGTTGCTTGTCACAAACAAAAAAGAAAAGAAGAGAAAGAAAAACGGAGAGACTTCTTTGTATTCAGTGTGATAGTGCCACTGTATTTCCTTTTTCCAGGTTCAAAGGCTAGAGATGGACTACTTACCTTTTGTTTTCTATTATATATTACAACACTGTGTGGCGCTCTTGTTCAAATAGCAGGGTTTTTTTTTGTCTTTAATTTTTCAGTGTGAGATTGAGATGTGTAAAGGATGTCCAGAAGAGGAAGAAGTGTTTGTAAATTAATGATAAATAATCTCAAGCTTTATTAAATACTGGATCTTTAAATTCAAGACAGGTCATTTAAAGAGACATAAAGAAATGGGTACTTACTTGAAGTCTATATTTAACTTTTGTTTGAATAATTATGGCTTGTTTTCTTTTGCCATTTATGTGAACTGAGCTCTACACAATGTACATTCCCTTCCATGCAACTTTACTGATTTAGCCATTTTGTTCTTCTGATAACCTTCAACTGCCTTCTCTATTTCTCTCTTTAGAGATGGGGTGACCTAATTATTCAGGATGTAAATACACAGTGCCACGCCATAGTCATGTTTGTGTTTGTATTTTCCTTCCTTTCCAAGCATTTCCCCAAATTCTCTTTGCTTTTGTGGCTCATAATTTTCCATTGACATTTTCAGAAGATTTCCTAAAATAGAGCCCTTCCATCCCTCCCTTCTTCCCACCAAGAGGTTGGTAATATCTACTTAACTGTGTTCCTTCTGCTATGTATGTTCTATGTGCTGTAAGGATGCAAGTCCCTCTGATTTGCAGTGTTACTTTCCATGTATCAGTAGTGAATTTCCCCTGTCAACTGAGTGCATAGTCACTCTTTCTTTTGGCTGTTCATTTTGTTTTAACCTGCTTTGAATACTACTGTTTGCCCCTTTTTTTTCCAGATCATGGTGAGGTTGATTAACGGTATAGGTCTGCCTTTGTTGAGAAGAATATTCAGACAAAGAGAAAAATAAAAGGATATGGGTTGAAGGTAATTTTCTGCTTTCCAAACTATCTAATAACAGGATAAGACCAACCCCCAAAAAACAAAGCAGAAGAAAAAAATGGCAACAACAAAAAAAGACAAAAGCCAAAGAAAAAAAAACTTTTAAAAAAGAAACTGAAACAGGGGAGAGACATGGAGGAAGTATAATATAGTTGCATTTATTCTTATCTGTTTTTCCACTCTCCAGGCAACCATCCAACTGAAATTCTAAATTTTGAGTTTTTTACCTGATTCACTGTCTCACTTCAGCATGGGAGCCACCAGCTATTTAGAGGCTACAACTTAGCTGGTTGTTACCATCACAGCTCTGAGAGGTAGTAGCTTCAGATTCCTGCTTTGGAATGAAGAAGGTCAGCAAAAAAAAACTAAGTTACAGCTGGTTTTTGCTAGTGTATAGAGTCAGCTCTTTGTGAGTTATGCGAGCCGAACTATATCTGTTTAATGATTCACAACAGCCAAGGATCTAGCAAAATGTCTTTAGCACCCTGAACATAGGGATGCAGTGCTGTGAGGCATTTCCCACTGCCTCCAAGAACTAGAGTCTGGGATAAGGTGAATTACGTGGCGTGTTCAGGTGCAGCTGTAACTGGCCGTGCAAAGGGCCGCAGCTGCTCCCTCATGTCATGGGTTGGCCTCCTCCTTGGTGGGAGCCTTGAGACTGCTGGAGAGCTGTGTGGTAGCAGCCGATGACAGATCTTCTGCAATGCAGGGTGGGCTGTAGGCAGCTCGGTAGCTCTGCTGTGAGGCTTACACTTCTAGATCCTCTGGCCAACCAAAATGTATGTGCTCAGTAGTATTTTCTAGTGATGGGCAAGAGCATGCCTGCTTGGCAACCATGGGACCTTCAGTAGTGAGAAAGCAGGGGAAGCCCTGATTGGGAGCATCTGTAAGGCTTTGGATGGGGGACAGAGCCCTGATGTGGGCAGGAAGAAAGATCTTACAATGGCTGCATTTTCATGCCTAAAACAGGAAGGTGGCTGAACTGTGGTACTGCAGAAACATCTAAATATTTAAATACAGACTTCGTAATTTTTGGTTTGTTTGTTACTTAAAAAGGAATGCTTTAAATTTTGGCCAAGGTGATATGCTTGGAAACCTGTCTCTTGTACTTATACTCCTTGCTCCTATCTTACATATCTAGTTTCTCATTAACTAATGTTTTTATGGAAAAAAATGTTGGGATGACGTTTTTGTTTAAAAGTTATATTGGTACGCTTGAAAATGAAAGAATGTCCTGGCAGGTTTCATGGAGGTGTGTGTTCATCTGCTTTGTGTGTACAGTAACACCATATTCCTTACTAGGGGGTGAAGATATCCACATAGGTTCGTATTTGCATATACTGCATTTATAGTCTTGGATGGCTTCCTATTACCTTCAGCAAAATCCAGGATTTGATTTGCATATGTGTGGCCGTTGGTCAGATCTAAAGGTCTGTTAATGTTCATTGGTTTATGCAAAGGTAAAATAACGCAGATGCATAAAATAAGAGCTAAAAAAGCATTGGAGTTCAAAAAAGTACTTGAAGAAACTCTTCTTAGCTTTATTCTGCTTTGAGTAATAAACTTTACTTCCATGTCATTATAGCTGTTAAATCACCTTTTTCCCCAGTTTTGCCATTCTTATCCTCAGAGCTGCAAAAAGAAAACAAAGACACTGAGTTTTATGACTAACTTTCTGATGCTAAATCTCCTTATTTAGAATAATGAAGAATACACATACCTCCAGTGGTTAATCCAGCAGAATAAGCATTGATTTAGTGTTACAGAAAGAAATCAGTAGAAGGCATTAGTTCTGGTAACTTTACAATACAGCAATATATTAAGAATTTACTCCATTATCACTATTAGAAAGTTAGTACAGCTTTTTTTCTGCATTTTTTTGGTTTTGCGTTACCTTCACTAATGCATAACAGACAGATGGTTCTGTCCTGGACTGGATGCTGACAGATTAAAAGGATTAAGTAAAGAAAACTTAGTTTTAAACCAAGTTCTTAAAGGAAAACTGACTGCTAGAAGCCTTTTTCTTTTGTGCCAATATCTGCAGAAAATGTTTCCCTTAGAGCAGTTAGTTGTATTCCCGATTTGACTTTGATGGAATAACTTAGCAAGTGTAAACATTAACATGACTGTGGTCTGTAACTGTGTAAAGTAGGTTAGTTTGAAAATGACGGTGCTGGCAGATAATTACAGACTGAGGTTACTTTCAGAACAGCAATGGAGCACCATTTTTCAATATATAAGTTTTATGTTTTGAATGCTGAAATGAAGTTGCAAATCATGGAAACTTTTCAGTGTAACCTTATATAATAGGACTGCTGGTGTAAACCATCACTCCTACAAAGACTCTGTGTATTCCTTGCAGACCAAGGAATTTTGATGGATTAGGATCCTGCCTTGGGTTTGAAAGGAAAATCTGTCAGATATTTGGTTTAAAAACACATCACTGCACTGTTGGCTATGCCTTACTCACTATATTACAGAAACTGGCACGGTATGCTTTCTCTATTAGAAAGACTTTTACTGCACATCACTTTCTTCAGCACAAATGGAGCTTAAGCTATTGTGTTTTCCAAGGTTGTAGTGCTTCAAGTGGTAAGGAAAATATTAGTTCATCTGTACTAGCAACCTGAGAAGAGACTTGGACTTTCAGTTTTCCCAAGAGAGACTGTTCAATGCTGTCAGGAGACTTTCCTGCCTATTCAGCTTCAGTTTTCCTTTTTTTCATTCATCCCTCTAATATGTCTAGCCTTTGTTCCATCCTAAGTACTTTTCCCTGATAAGTATGGAATCTTCAGAACACTTGTAGACTAATTCATTTGACTGAAACTTAAAAAAAAATTAAACTAACAATGTGTGAACTGGTGCCCTAATTATAACATTGTTGTGCTCTTCTCTGTATGTAGTATCTGAAGGCACACACACACCTTGAGGTCTTGATCCCCCATAAAACTCATAGGAAAGGGAAAATCACTGTTATACTGAAATATTTAATTTGTGCAATTCTGCTGATTTCTGCATATAGACTGGCACTTGAAGCATTTTCTCTGCCTCTTACTTGTTCTTGACCTTCATTAACTTCTATAGCAATTTGTTCTGAAGGTTCACTGCTTTTCCAAAACATGATGGTTACATAAAAGGACCTCCTCCGTGGTAATGTCCTGAGCTTTCTTGCTTCCCGTTCTCTTTCAGAGAGCCCTTGGTGCCTATTCTTCATATTTCAAATGCTGCAATTGCCTCCAAAAGCTCCATTTGTAAAAGGACTGTTTTTCTATTGTATTGCTGAATTTCTGTTGTATTGCTTTTTGATTTTAATAATGAATTATGAGGTACCAAAGATGGTAATCTCACTCTTCTCTTTTCCCTGGCATAGAGTGAACCTGCTCTGCAGAAGATTTTTTTTCCTTAAAAAATAGGTTTTTGTCATGCATTGTTCTAGATAAGAGGCTTTCCTGATTTTGTTTCCTTTTTAGAAGTAGCTATGAGATTACAAGAGTGTAGGGAGATACTGAGTCATTTCCTGTTTTTTTTCCACAGATTAAAATGTCCCAAAGATTGGTAATAGGGTGGGGTGGGGAGGAGTGTGGCTTAGTTCCATGTTCAGCTGGGCGCTTCAAGATGTTCGCTTGGAGGCTGTGCTGAGCCCCGGATTGTATTTTTGGCTTCATTTAGATAACTGCCAAACTGTTATTGATTTAATTGGGTCTGAGATTTTTTTTTCTTAGTTGGCCATTTTCTCATTGGTAGAGTTCTGCGTAATTAAAGGTTAAGAGCAAATACAAATTAATAGGACATATTCTCAAATGCCTTTACTACATTTATAGTTACTCGTATGAAAGCCAGCATTGCTCAGAGGTTGTCTGTTAGTTGGAGGGAAGGAAGAATTTTCAGAAGCTTTTTTTCAGAAGTCAACAGTAAGCACAAATTGGCACTTGCTCAGCTAGTATCTCATGGTCTGCATGTGGCCACCAGAACAGTTCTGTGGGCTCATAGTCGCTCCTTGCAAGCTTCTTCCCTGAGTGCTGTGCAAGGAGGGGCAGGGCAGGCTGCAGGATGAATGAGTTGTTTTGGTAGCAACCAGCTTTTGCAGGGAGGGTCCTTCTTGTATGCATGCATCACATAGGCATGTACATGTGTGATGGGAGAATGGGGGTGTGTCCCCAAAACAAAGGGCTGGAGCAGCTGCTGGAATGATTTATTTTGCCCACAGTTTGCCCACTCTGCCCCTTGTTGCTGACACAGAGCTGCTGGCAGTAGCCTTGGTCCTGGAGACCACAGCAAGGTGCACAGAAGGTGGCACTGGAGCCTGAGGGAAGCAAAGGGCCTGAGGGGTGACAGAAAAGCTAAGTGACCTGACTGGCCAGGAAGGCTGCGCTGCGCTGCTGCGGTGTTTCAGACTGTGCTGTGCATGACTGAATGAGGTGGCAGGTACTGACAAATGGTGAGCATTGTTGGAGAATGCTTACTGAGCAGCTCTTCCCAAATAATGCATGCTGATGCAGAAATGCTTGAAATTCCTTATAGGATCCGACGACCACTGTCTTTTGGATACACTTGTATTGTAAATAAATGATAGATTGCCCATGTAGCTTTAGTCAGGGCCAAAACTTGCACTTTTCTTGCGAAACTTTCACAATTACTGGGAATGTAGTCTGGGAGTTGAGGAAGAAGAGGATGTGGGTGCAGAATGCCTGATCCTGCTATACTTCAAATGCAAAATGGAAAGTGGCTCCTGTCTAAAATCTGCTGTTCTGTAAATATGCTTAAATGCATTTGAACTACATGCATTGAAGTGCAATACAACTATAATGAAGAGATTTGTGTTTCTGTAAGACCTCTCTATTGTTTTTTCCAACCTTTTGTTATAAAAGTTTGCGGTAAGAAATAGACATTTTTAATCCTAAAAGACTAAAAGGAAATACTAAGAAATAAAAAATATATATATATTGACTAACCGCACCTAGGGAAGAAAGCTGTTTTCTCATCATTCAGAAATTATAGAAACATGTTTAAATCATAGAATCATTATGGTTGGAAGAGACCTTCAAGATCATTGAGTCCAACCGTAAGCCCTTCAGCACCATGCCCGGTTAACAAAACTTGTAAAATTTGCATTAACGTTATCAAGGCAAGGTGGACACTGATTCCAGAAGAATGCAATGTAAAGCTGGTTATTAAAGAGTTTTTCTGATTTAAGGCGCAATTTGGATTATCTAGAAAGTAGTTAGAATATGGATAGGCACGAATAAATTTAATAAGGAGACAGTGTTAAGAAGCAATGCTGTTAGCTACCTGGTAGTAAATTAAAACTATCCTTCTCAATGAGGTAGCATAAATGGAACGTTTAATTGCCATTTTAAAGACAGCCACTCTTTTGAAGATTACTGGAATGGATTTTCTGAAATAGTTTCAAAATTTTGGTATGGTACACTAGTGCATTGCTAAAGATGAAATACTTCAACAGTAGCTAAATGTCATTGGCATTTTTTAACAAATAAGAAAAAAAAATAGTAATTGCATATTAGTTTGAAATAATCCAAAAATCAAGGAGAAGCAGTTGCTAGCAGATAGAGTACTGTTAGTTTGCTACATGAGTGAACAGCAGCGACATGACTTTGCTTCTCTGTTACCTGTTAATGAGGGATCTTCAGTACCATCTCCGGGTCCCTGGCTGTGAAGGTGAGCTGGGTGTGTTGGTGAGCTTAAACGTTCCTCTTGTTCTCGTAGGGAGATGGAGTTTTTGTGAGGTGCCGTGTTCAGGTTCCCACCTTGCCTGCTTGCAGGGGCCGTCTGTGGTACTTCGGTGCTTTTCTGCCTGTTTAGGGGCTGATAAACCTGACTGTAGGGGCCTATGGGATGATACGATGGCTTCTCAGATTTGCTGTCATCTTCCTCATCATCATCAATCATAACTAGTTCTGCTCGGATAACCCCATCGTATCTTGACAACTTTTGGTCTGCTTCTGCATCTTCATCGACACGCTGATAACCCATGAAAATCATCGTAACGGGTTCTGAGTCATCCACATAACATGGTAAAGCTTGGACAATTCTGTACTGGACGTCCTCCTCATCTTCGTGAGGTGTGGGGGACACTGCATTAAGATGACAGGAGTTTAAAGCTCTTGCCTCGTGATGCTTTTCACTTGTATTGTGGTAAGGTTTTAATTCCTCATGTGCAGTGTTTCTTTTTTCGTTACATACCATCGTGTTCTCGGTGTTAGTGTGTATTCTTTTCTCTGCTTGGGGAAGTACTGGAGAGGGAGACTTTGGTTGTGTTACCCTTGGGAGATCAAGACCGTTTTCTTTATGTGGCTTCATAGAGGGCTCTGCCTTACTGAAGAGCTCTGTCTGATGTTTGCTAAGTCCATTCATATCTCTCTTTTGTTGGTCTTCCAGTTTTGGTCCAGAGACTAATTTGTCTTTCTGAGGAGTCGTTGGCCTGCAAAACTTGTTTGCAAACACAGGCTCATGGTACTCTGTGGGAGACTTGGAATTTTTTTCAGTTGCCTGCCTTAGGAGGTCCTCCACCTCAACAGGAGCAAGTTCATCCATGCCATTTTGTGTTTGGTTGCAATTGGAAGACACTGCATAGACTGACTTCCTGCCATCATCATAGACTTTAATTCCTGTCTCTTTAAACTCATTGGAGGGAAGAGGTATTGTTGATAATACTGTGTTTTCTCCTGTCTTCATGTCTTTTTCAACTTTAATTTCCATGGCAAAGAGTGCTGTTGGAAGAAACAGGTACTTAAAAACTGGTAGTGCAGCAGACAAAAAAAATAATCTGAAAGAGTCCTAGTGAGGAGAATGAATGTTAAAATGAATTATCAGATATGTTGTATAGGATTTTCATTTTGAATCATCTCTCCAAACTGTCAAAATTTCAGGAAGTGGGGGTGAAAAAAATATTTTATGTTGAATCTATTTCTGAAAGAAAATCAGCACTTGAGGAGCCAGATTTCGTTATGTGATTTTGAGACGTCTAGGTTTAAACTTGACTTCGGGAGCTATTCTGGGCAATAGCAGTTGCAAGGGCTCCGTGTGCTGCAAGATTAGAGTTTTGGGCGCTCGGCATAGGAGGCTTTAGGAGGTAGTAATCAGGAAATAACCTGACTAGATATTGTAAGCATAATTACTGATTAAAAACGTGTGATACCTGGTAAAAGAGAAGGACCTCTTTGAGTAATGCTAGAGGTAAAGGAATGAAGTGCTGGAAGAAAGTGTTGATGTTGAAAACAATGTCAATTATATGTTGCTTTTACCAATACCCTACCTTTCAATTTTGCCAACATTAATGATAAAAACAGCTTAAGTGAGAAGAACTTTTGTCTCATATCAGTAGCCTTTGTCTTAAATGCATATTAGCTTCCGTGCTTAAGTAGCTTTTGTCAGTTATACCTTTGGAGTTGGTAACAAACAATACCTTTTCTCTTTTCTTCATCGTCTGTTGCAGCATGTCCTGCTCTTTTTAGTGCAGAGGGTCTGAAATACTTTGGAAGGTCGGGTATGTTGGCATATATGTAGTCTGCTGTCTCTGAATAAATAAGATTCACAATACCTTTAGTATGCATTTACTAACTTGTACAAAAGAGAAAACATATTAGGATTTCGACCAAACATACCTTCTTCAACTCCTGCTTTTTCTGCTTTTACAGACTAGAAAAGAGAATCATATAATAATATAGATGGTTAGTCAGTTTTAAGATAATTTCTCGACAGTGTTTTGCTTTATCTGATAGTGATAACTTTTTGTGGACCACACTTTATACAGAGGGATATCTACAGCAGAGACTTCTCGGAATATTTGGAACATGGCAAGAGAGAAAGTGAATTTTTTTCCTCTATTTTGGCAACACATCTTTCCCTTTGTAATCTGGAGTCATTAGAAGATGTTAATGATACAGGCTCACACTTTTGGCCAAGGTGGTTGATTTCAAAGACTTTCAAAGCTCTAATTTGGCTCCCCAGTTTTGTTTATCCCTCTGTTTATTTTTAAAGTGGATATTTGTGTATGTACGAAGAGCTGGAGAACTGAAGCCAAGCTGCTTCATTATATTTTCAAGAGAGCTTAAGATGATTCTGAAATGTCAAAATGACATTTTGACAAAGGGTATAATGACTAAAAGTGCTCAATGAGTCAGGAGAAGACATAATGCAGTTTAGCTGGACTGTTAATTTGAAGGACTGCAAATCAGTCAGTCTCTGTACTTACTACTTGTATCTGTCTCATGTTGAGATTCAAAGTTGCTGATTGGTGACAACAGTAGTGCTATTTTTCATTATGTACTATGGATGAGTAGTGCTATGAACTACCCTCCCCCCCTGCAAACAAGAATATGGAGACATTTGGGTACTTGAACAGTGTAATTTCTTATTTATTTTATTTAACTACTATCATTAGATAAAAACTCTTGAACACTCTCAGGATTCTGGTAGTTCCTCTTTTACTGTTCAGTGTTTTACTGAACATTGCAAGTATTCACATCACTGTGAATATGAATAAGAAATTCATATTTCTATAATGGTTTGGCACTAACCTTTATGATGTCTTCGGTTGTTTTCTCAACTGACTTAAGTTTCTTTAAAATAGCTTCTTCATTAGCTGAAATTTTCATTTCCTCTTTTTCCAGAGCCTCAATTTCCTTTTCCAGTCTGCAAACACAATTCCATTGATTAAATACCATGAACAGTGTTGTAGATTCAATACATTTGGAGTACAGCCTTTAGCAAGAATGATTTAACTCACTCTGATAAATTTAATTCTAATATGGAATTAGTATATAGCTTCAGATACCTCAAGAATAATTGTGAAATTGGAATTATTCTCAGTCTTATAAAATGTACCTGATGTGCATGTTCTTCTCAAACTACTTTGAAAACAGAGACTGAAATTAATTTCATTTCAAGAGGAAATGAAGAAGGACCATTGGTCCCTGCAGGATTTTCTCATCTTCAAATGGATTTTTTTTTCCTCATGCATTGTCTCAGGAAACATGATTATCCCCCAAACATGATTATTACAGAAAAGTAATCTAGTCAGAAACCATGGCTATGACTTTATTCACTTGTCTGTATGTTCAGTTATACTATAGATTTAAAGTAGTGCATTATTTTACTGTAGTAAGAAGAAAATAAGAGTATCAGAAGAAGGTTCTTGTAACTGCTGATACATAAAGGGCTGAGGCTATGACCTCGTGCACTGCACTGTGTGTATCCCCACTGAGTTCAGGCGGATCATACATGGAGGAAAGTTCTGCTCCATGGATGACGAGAGGCTGCAATTCCACAATAAGAAAAGAGATGAAGGCACAGAATGCTGTTCTCTGTTCACAGAAACAAATGGCAGTTTCCAAGGAATAAGAAATATTGTGATGATACATCAGGCTCGTTTGATGCAAACCACACAGAATTTTTTTGTAGAACTAAAATAGATAACATTTATTTTCATATTAAAAGTAGTTAATACAACTAGAAACCACAGAAGTGATATGTTTTGTAGACTCTTCTTAAGTGATAACTGTGGTTATTGTGTGGTTTTTGTAAACCTGCATAGCAGAAGATGCTAGAGACATTAGTCAGAAGTCTTGTTGTTTTCCAGTGTATTAGTTTTGGCCTGAGAACAAACACTTACGATGAGAGATGGACTTTGTGATGACATCTTTTCAGCTCCCCTGTACAAAGGCAGTTTCCTGCAGGGTTTTGCATCCATGGATGTGGGTGTTTGGATTCTTTGCTTTGGTAAAACCTTTGTCACAGAGCCTGACTGTCAGCTTGAAACTTGATCTTTGTAGGGGAAGGGAGGGGAAGTAATGAAAAGAGCAGGATATTGAGACTGGGGTTTTTAGCATAGTGTAAAGTGTCATTGATACGTAAGTGTCATTGGTAAGTGCCAAGAGGTTATGTGGCTACAGATTTAAAATCACTGCAGTGTTTACAGGATCCCCCTTTAATGTTATGTGTGCTAGGGTTTTTACAGCCATTTGCCTCTTTTCTGTGTGTCCTTTCTAGTTGCTCATCAACACTTTGCATATTTGATTCTGTGGTGGGGAAAGATGCTGTAACCTTGTCTTTGAAAATATTCACTTTCAGCAGAACAGCAGTGTTACAAGACACACTGGCTAAATGCACCTAAGAAAAGCAGTTTGGGAGAATTAGCATTTGTAGTACCTGCTCAAGTAATATCCTCACACATATTACTAGAAAATTTGTAAGAGAAACTGGATAGTTCAGATAAGTAGGATAAATGTCAGGTATTGATAACAATCACATTCTAAACCTATATTTTGGTGAGATTGCCTGCACCAAGAAGCAGGTTTTAAGGACCAATTTATCATAAGAGTCTTACAAAGACTAAAAATCTGCATACCGTATATTGTCTTGTCTGTGAAGACTTTTAGCTGGTTTTCTCTAAAAAGCTTTGTTATTAAATTAAAGGTAGATAAAACCCACCAGTATGAATCTGGCAGGGAGGAGTGCTATTGACTTATGCTGAAGGTTTGCACGTTGTTTAAATCATGTCATAGTTCTCTTCCCCTTCCTGCCATTTTTGTTGTATATTAAAGCTGTGAAGTCAAATGTTATGTTGCATGTTAAATCAGAAAAAAATGTTTTTGGCATTTTTTTCTAATAAGTTTTATTTTCTTACAACTAGATGAAACACTTCTTGTTGGAAAGGTTGAGGATAAAATATTTAATCTCTAAGTTTGTGAGAGAAGGAGAAAGCGCTGTTCAATTAAAGCACACCTCTGAGCTGTGATCTTGGTGAAATTCTTTTCTCAGATCTGAGTAAAGCTGTGACTTTAAGCAGGTGTCCTACATCCTACTTCTTCTAGTCAATGCTGTTATATTCTGCATAAGTAAATAGTCGTTAGGTTTATAGGTAGAATTTTTTTCTGTAGCCTAGTAATTAGCAGATCACTTCCCATGAAGGTCATCTGGAATCGTCTGAATTTAACTCTTAAAAAGGGAGGGTCTCATGCAGGAGGAGGAGTGCCATAGCTTTAGACTCCTCATTCTTGTGAACATTCTAGCTTAGAGAAAAAAAAATAAAGTAAAAATTGATATTTTGAGTCCATTTCTGAAAATGATGGCTGTACAACTACTGTTACTGGTATTTGTAATTGATCAACACAAGAGTTATTAGTGAACAATCTGACCCAAACTCACTTAAAAAGCGGTGATGGACCATATTTCTCTTATGCTAGAAAGATGAGTTCTGCCTTATTCTGAATGCAGGCTAGAAGGGGAGCATTATTTATCTTGGTCTGTGTGCTGCTTGAAGAGACTAAATAGCACTGTGGCTATTGCCCTGCTCAAGCTCACAAACGCATACAGTTACAGTAGTATCATACTGTGTGAATTTTTAAGCTGTTGGTGAGAATTTTCTCTTTTTTGAAACAGAGTTGATCATGGTCCTCAGAACTGAGTTGTGAAGAAAAAACAGAATGAAAGTAAAAGCTTTTAAAGAGAAGAGAAGGAAAAAAAAAGACAGAAAATGACAGTTGATATTTTGGCCCTGCACTTTGCAAGATGCCCTTAGGACCCTACTCAAAGGTATTGATTATCATTTTGTATTTAAGAGTTAATGATAAGAGGGATAAATATTTTTGGAGAGTTGTAAAAGAACTTAGTGCAATGCCCTATCTTTGCCCCTCTTGGAGAAAATTATAATTATTTGCATAAAAAAAGTATTTCAGTATATTCCGCAAGATTTGATTGCAGTATTGTCATAATATAAAAGTTAATCATTAAAAGCTCATAGATATATAATGAGCTAAAGAATCATTAACTTTTACCAAGGGTTTATTTAAGTCTAAACACACCTAGACATGTAGATGGAAGAAGAGGAGGACTCTGAAAAGGTATATAAAGGCCAAATAATTCAAAGGGGAAAAACAATGGTTATATAAGATGTCAAGAAATATTTTACTTAATTTTATGTACACTCACACACCCATTTTGACACCCACTTCACATGGTAATTAAGAGGACTGATTTATCCTTGTGGTTAGGCAAAAATTCTCATAATTCAAAGAAATCTGAGTTTTTTCTACTTTGTATAGCTATAAAGATAGGACAGAATATCCCTTCTCAGTGTTTAAATTAAATCTGCAGAATTTTATAAATATTCTGAATCAATATTGCTATTATTAAACAAGCTTTCCTTGTTTAGGAAGGGTCTGGCAGTTACACTGAAGAGCTTGTTTTTGACAGTGGTGCTGCAGTAGGTGCTGTACTGAAACAGTCCTCTGGGTATTTGTCACTGTGTTTTTGGGTAGCATTAACTGTTGAGAGGGAGCCGTAACAAGCGCGGAGGTGGGGACTAATGAACAAGCCTTAGAAGCTGAGATTCTGAAGTGCAGGTTGCCCTGCTGCAGCAGTAGCTGAATTAGGAAATTCATCAGTGCATTTCTGACTGTTGATGGCCACTGACTGGGCTGTCGCGGTTGGCACTAATGCCATCCCTGGAAGAAAAATCAAGGGTACTGAGGATGAAAAGCAGATCAAAGTCCCCTGGAGGACACCAGACTGACAGAACAAGGCAGCCTAGCAAGTCCTCACATGTTTTGAGGTGAGTCAAATGCTTTGGCAGCTCTGGAGTCTATGTAGCCTGAGCCTGCTTTCATGTGTTACTGTACAAACTAGTTGAGCACTCCTTAGCAACATGATGTTTGTGCATTTTTTAAGTGTGTTGTTTAGCAACTAATTCCATCAGGTATGAGTGCTATTTGTTGTAAAACTAAATGATAAAATTATAGAATACCTTATTCTTTATTCAGCTTGTACCCTGAGCAAGAACATGCTGACTTGGCAGGCTGTAACTACTAACACGTAAACAAGGTGAACAGAACAGATACGGTGAATTCTATTCCTGTCTGTAGCCACTGAGCTAATGGTCTGCAAGGTGGTTCAGTCCACTCTTAACTCTTTTATTATTTATACAAATAATGGAACTCTCATTTTTTTAATCTTCAACCTGCTTACCAGATCAAAACCGAATAGCAGAGCTATATGAGCTCTACTGCACACAAAAAAGGGTTTCAAAACCAAGATCCCATTTGAGAGAGCAATGAAAAGGACATGCCACTATTTTAAATAATATGTCTACAACTGCACGTGACTGTCCTCTAAGCGGAGAAGACTTATAAGGACACTGTAAAAACCTTTTAAATGCTCTAGATTTATTTTAAATAAAATTAAATTCTGTCCACCCCAATGGACAGAATATATTTGTTTCTTCAGTAGTAAAATTTAATGATTGAATACTCAGTAGAAAGAATTCTGCTCAACTTCTAAGCAATATCTTACTGCAACTGCACGACAAGTGTGTACATGAGCAGTATGTCAGTCTTTTCTTGCAAGGTAGGTCACAGGAGTGACTGCGTTAAGTGTAGCTTAGCAAGCTTTTGCTGGCCTGGATACTATCACTGGCACGGAAGCACTGCACAGTGTCTTCACAGTCCTTTTTATTTTGTACTTTTTGTTAGATTTTTCCCATTCATGCTGAAGTCTGCATTGCTTGACTTCTCTATCTGTGCTGGCTGGTTTGAAATAATTGGGCTAGATATATCTAAGCAAGACATAATACCTGGAGTGCAGCATGGATGTGTCTTTGGAGGCATTTGTTAGACAACTGTTGAACAGTGGTAGGAAGTATAATTTATCGGAAAAGATGCTTACTGAGAACAAACCTGCTCAAATTCCTAGCTCAGTGACCAGTTCCCACATGATTCCAGGTATGTTCTTCTGCCTCCGCTCCCCACCTGTGAAATGAAATGTCCTCGCCTTGCTCCTCTGTGTATCATGAGGATAAAAACTCAAGAGTATAGGTTGTATAGATTGTATGGTTATAAACTTAAGTTTCTTAATCATGAAAACATTTATTTTTGATAGCAAGGTGTATACATCTCTAAACTGTGTCTACAGCTTAGGCAGTGAAGAAGTGAGTCTTCTCTCTGCTTCAGGGGGGATGTGATCAGGAGCATCTCTGCACTGATCTTCACTTTCAGAGTGCAGGTTTCTGCTCTCATATTCTCTGTTGTGATTGATGAAAGTCGCTTGCATTTTTCATAATAGTAGTGATGGTATCAGAACTGAATTTTTTCTGCCTGCTCTCTTGCAAAACGCATGCACAACAAAAGGAGTATGTATGCTGTGCAAGTACAGCCTCATCATACATGAGAGGCTGTTACTGTAAAAGTGAAGACAGTAAGTCATTTTGTGTTGTACTTTTTGTCAACTAACTTTGTCATTTTATAATGACAATCATTTGTCCAACTTGTTTAATTCTAAGTAAACATGGGGTGTTTTGGATGGATGTCGAGAAGTAGGAATTGTTCTAACGAGGAAACAATCTAGTGGAACTTGCCGGGGAAGGTCACAGGCCAGAAAAGCTAGTTGGGCAGCAGAGCTGGCTGAGTAACGCTATTAGCAACAAGCAGTTGTGGAAGTGCGAAGTTCACCATAAAAGAGTAAAATTAAAGGGTAGTATATAAAAATACAAAAAGAACCATTCTTAGGTTTTGTTAAGCAAGTGTAGTAAAATAAGCAGCCTTACATTCTGAAAAAAGAATGATACTTTATAAGAGAATAACAGTAGACATCGACAATCCAGTGTTCCTACAGTTTTTCCACTGCAGTGCTTATGGTTGCAAGGAAGTCATTTCTGATTTATGGTCTTAATTGTCTATATACACAAATAATGTTATTTGTGCTTTTAGGTAATAGAAGCAGGACCTGTGTAGGAAAAAATGAATTTGTGCCTAATACCTAATTTCTCCTAAATGCAGGCATATAAACAGAAACTATTTTAAAACCACAATAGAACTGCTATCTCTGCATCAGATGTATGTGGGAAAAGAATTTCAAAATTGAATTCTAGTGAAGGCTGAATGTTAATTATGTCTTGCACAAATTCTAGTAGGAACAGACATTTATTTGGCTAAACTGGCACAGGCTTGGGGTGCATTAAATGTAGTTTGGGAACCTCAGCCTTATCTGGTATAATGTGTGTGATTTTCTTCATGTGTTACATTACTATATGTGTATCCTTTCCTGTCATAGAGTTTCTGCATGTACTGCTTCTAGTCATTGCAAAATGGAGAAGAAAACTTATACGGCTGTATTTGGAGAATTAAAATTTTCTATATGTGTTCCGTTTTGGGGTCTCGAGAAATAGAAATTAAAGAACATTGAAGTGAGGAAAAAGGTAGGACAATAATTACAAGAATAATATGAAAAGACCATCATTACAAACCCAAGATTCTGTGAGACATGAGGGTTGGTATTACATGTGTGACTTAACCACCCTATTATAACCATCAGGAGGTCACTATTAACAATGTGGAGGCATTTCCAAAGAGAACATCCAAAGTATAAAAATTTGCTGAGATCTCTGAACTAGTGTTGTAGGAAGGTATTTAAGTAATCTGTTCCAAATCTAGCCAGTGATAGGAGAGAAGGGACTTGCTGCCAATGTTGCTGTGAGACAGCTCAATTACAATGACTCAAGCACAGAGTGCCCTTAAGGTTTGTTATCAGATTGGATTTAGATGCTAGAGATGAAGAACCTTCGGTGTTTCCAAAGCAGTTAATCTGTCTGGATTTAAATAGCTTCTTTTAGTGGCAGAAACAATTGCAAACCTGCAAAGATAAGAGCATTGCCTGTTCTTTACTAGGGCATTGCTGAATGTCCATAATAGTGGAGATGTTAATTATGTCAGGAGTATATCATACCTCGCCCAACCCACCCACACACCAAATCTCGGTCTCAACTTGGTTGTGAAGTTCTTAGTATTACTTTTTGTTGTTGTTGTTGTTGTGTTTTTTTTTTTTTTTAAAAAGTCTTCCCATCAACAAATTTCACAGGGAATTTTAGCTAAACCTCTATCTCTTAATCAAAGTCAATGGGTCTTTGGAAATGTAGCCTGTCCTTAGCTCAGAAGAGCTGGAATTCTTGTGGGCTTGTAGACTGTCTAGTCTGTACAACTTAAGACTTGTTCCTGATCCAGTCCTCCTGCACTTGGATGGTTTTCCTAGTGAGAACCCTGTCACAGGGATCTCTCTCACAAGCTGTTGGGATGGTTTTAGAGCACATTGCTGCAGTGGTAGGAGGTAGACAAAGGAATCCACAGGGGTGCTTGAAAAGCTGTGCCACTGAGAAAAGTGCTTCAAGCAAGAAGCCAGCTTAATTAGAGGACAAACTAGCACGAGGTTGCTGCCTGTCAGCTGAGAGAGTTCTCATTCACGTTGTAGAGATGGAGTAAGGAGGTAAGTGGGAGGGAAATAACCGGAGGAGAAAATATTGGTGGAAACTGTCAAAAGAGTTTGTGGAGGAGGACAGTAGAGGAAGAGAGGACGATGGAGGAGGCTGCTATTGAAAATAAGTAGAGAGAAAAACCTCAAAAAAAAAAAAGGATGATGAAACTTCTGTGAATCTGAAGAAACAGAAGCTTTTCAGCTTTGTTGTGGATGGTAATGGAGAGCACCAGTTTGCCTGGACCCAGGGAAGGAGCTGAATGTGTAGAGAAGCCAAGAGTATTCAAAAAGGCAAACTGTGCTAATAAGCACTTAGAATTATGTCTATAGTTTACAAAAATAAAAAAGCCACAGGTAGGCTGCCTATGCAGTTCAAAGTTACTCCCATGTGGTAGGGAGGTGCTAGCCACTGATACCTTTTGAAGAAATACCTTTTTGAAAAAAGGTTCAAGATTGCTTTACTCTGTATGTGATCCTGCATATTTTGAGCCCTCGATGACATTTTCGTCATTTACAAAGCAGGATGAGACTTTTAGAAAGTACCATTCTAACCCAGATAGAGGCAGAGGAGTGCTAACCTACCTGAGAATGTCTTGTTCCAGTTCATGAGTCCGTTGTTGGTCATCCTGGTTCTGCTTTTGCATTTCTTCTTGCTCTTTTGGGGTGAGAGAACTCAGGCCATCCAAGAGCCATTTTTCTCGCAATGCCTTTTTCTGATGGAAGGATAAAGACAAGTGTACTTTAGAAACTAGGCTAACTGGTATTTTTTTTTTGTCTTTGGATTTGTATGCATAAAGCACATTTTTGTGCTGTACCTAGCACATGGAGAGTTAAACATTTGTGCTTTGGGATTAATTTGAGAACAACATGAAGGACAAGATCCTGTTTTATTAGTCTACCTAGCAGATAGATAGTAGACAAATCAGTTACTTGATATAGTAGATTTAATATTTCAAAGAGGAGCCAGCATTGTGGCTGCCCTGAGTAAAGCAGAAGAGCTTGCATATATTTTACTGACTTGTGTGAAAGGCTGCAGTCAGAAGTGCTATGGTCTTATTTCAACAGCCCTGCTACACTTTCTTGGTTCCTGGTATTACATTAATACTGTGAGAGAGGGATAAAAGGTGAAAAGTTTATTTTCATTGCTCCTTATAAATAAGGCCTTAGGCAGGCAGAGGGGGTGTCACCATATGGTGACTCGCTGTGGAGGGAGTGTCGGGCAAGAGCGGGGCTGCATGGACCGCAGTGCTGCTTGGAGCCACTGTTCTTGCCTGCATTTTGCTCCTAGAGTCTTTAAAAATGTTTCTCTCTACCATTTTCTGGTTGCTCTGCATTTCACATGAAGTCATTAGTGAGCGGCAACTGATGGCAAAGATGTGTCTAGGACCTGATTGCAGTTAACACAGATGTTGGTAAAATGTATTTATGTGGTGTACTTTAATGATCCATACTTGCCTCACCTAAGATAGAAACTATGGGTAGAGTAGCAGCACTTCCCTGGTAGTGCTTTTCTGCAAAACACAGGAGCAATGCTTACAGTCTCCCTAGCCCTGTATTATCTCTCATGAAACTAGATCCTGGGAAACCTGCAGCAAATAGGGACTGTCCAAGACTGAAGCCCTGAGCCTTGACGCTGGCTTTGTATCATTTGGCAGCCCCTTCCATCTTCATGGCAGTTGTGTTTTAGAAAGTCTTTAGTGAAATGCGTGCAGATATTTAAATAGGAAACTTTCACCTGATCTGGTAGGTGCATGTAGTTTGATGTTGGCATAACTCTTAATAAAAAATAATAATAAAAAATACAGCTTTCCCTAATGAGAGATGACACAGTTGTTAATTTCTCCTGAGACAAGTGTTTGATACTAATTTTAGGCAGAACTTTAGAAAAGTGAGATTTTAATCCTCCTTGGCACCAAGTTAGTCTAGCCTTGCTTTTCCCAGAAATAAACCTATAATTCCTTATATGACAGTTGCACAAAGCTTCTGTGAGCCCCAGTGGGAGTTACCAGTATCCAAATCTACTGTGACGGCCGTTCTGGATGTATAGAGTTAGACTCAAAAAAAAATAAACTCCCTGAACATAAGCATAAGACAATAGGGCTATTCTTGCCTTTTCCTAGAATAGTTTGCTGGTGCTTACAGCTAAATGCCATGTAACCTCAGTAATTTTTTTTGTATCCCCTTCTGGAAAAAAAATGGCACATAGCGTAATTTATCAATCAGCTGCAAGTTGTCCCTTGTTCAAATTCTGCTTCCAGAGAAGGCTGACACAAGCTAGTGAAGAACAGCTGCTCTGAGGCTGTTGGATTGTTTCTGAGATTTAGCATTTCCTTCTGTCATAAAGTGTGTCTAGCTTGATACTGAGTTGTGCATGCTGTGTTCTGTGTAGTACCTCTGGTATGAAAGCACTTTCATGTTAGCCTTGGTGTGGTCTGTAGCAAAAGGGTCCATGTACAGCATGATGTGATAAGACCCTTGGAATGGGCTGCATGCTGGAAAGCGATCCCTCTTCCTTGTGGCTTGAGAGGAGAGCATGCAGGCAATAAATACTCCTTCTTCATTATTGTTCTAATGGACAACTAAGTTTTGACACCTCATCTGTCTCTCTTTATCAAGAAATTAGTTGGAGCAACAGCAAAGTATTTGGGAAGCCAGAGAGACTTATTTAGAAAAGTGAAAATTAAAGGAAAAAAAAAAACTCTGCCTATTAATGTTAGTGAAAGATGAACTAAACCTGGTAGGAACAGCTGTACCACTCTGCCTATATACGGCAGTAGTGAGGGTTAGCTAGTGTGTCTAGAACTTATCAGTTGATCCTCCTTAAAATAAGGACAAAAGAGTCATTCTGAATTAATTGACAGGGAAACTTGAAACAAATTTCAATACTCCTTGTGTGCATGTACTAAAAGGGGAGAGGAATCTGTTTCACCAGAGCTCTATTAAATATGCAGGTAAGATGCTTCAGCCAAATAAGTCTAATTAAAAAAAAAAAAATCCACAAGAAGGTGCAATCGTATCTTGTATTTGTGCTGCATACCATAGCAAGTGAAGTTGCTGTGGTGTAATTACAGAGTGAAAACACCCTGTCTGAAATGGAAGCCTTAATTTTCAGTTGTGAGTTATTCCTGGTTATGATCTCATTTTATGCCATGGAACTGATCAAATTGCATTAGCTTTGAGTGTCATTTTTTTTTTTCAAGTACAGTGCTTATTAAAGTCAAATGGAATCCTGGTAAGACTCCAGAAAGCTGTGAAAATTTCATAATAAAGCTATGGCTTAAATCCAGGAAGACTTGCCAGTTTTACTACTCTCACTTAATGTTCATAAACTTGAAGAAAATCTAACCAATTATTGTTGGATGTTACTGCTGTTTAAGGGGAAAATCCCAAAACTTTACTCACAAAGTAATTTGAGGCTATTTTTAGTTATGTAACTATAATACTTTTCGCTTACTTTTAAATGCTGGTGTTTCAGTTTTTCTTCCTCTACTTTCAGACGTTTCTGTGTAATTTCTTCCTGCAGTTTTCTTTTGTCCTACAAATTAAAGAGAACAACAAAGCTTTGTTCAAAAAATTACTTGGGGCTAAAAACAAACAAACAAAAATACAAAACCTGTGTGCAATGTAATTCAGCAAGGCAAAGTCAATTCATGCAAACAAAGCTGGATTTTGATGTTTTGGTGGCACTCAGGTTGTGCCTAATTCTGAGCAGCCACAGCTAAGGGGTCTTGTTCAGGTATGGTTTCCAGTGCTTTTTCCAAAATCTGCTTAAAATATGTTAATGACCACAAAGCAGGAACTCCAAATTAAATGGAATTTACTGTTTGTGGGGTTAGAGGGAAAGAAAACAGGAAGAAATAATACTTGAGCACAATTATACCTACAAAATATGGTCCTGAAATAGGCCCTGACCTAAAATTGCATCCTGTTGTCATGGTTGCTGACCTTTAGAAATAGAAACCTCAAATACTGCTGATCCGTCCCAGTGCCACCTTTGTCCTTTTTACTACTAATTACAGAAAAAAAAAGGGGGTGAACCATCTCTGAAGCCTGGGAACATTCAAGCCCCTTCTATGTCTGCCTTGGTACCACAGAGCATCCTTGTGGATTGTTCATATGACAGTTGGCAGATTTTTTTTTTTCCTTTAACAAGCATGGCTTAAGAAAGAGTTAAATTCCTTCACAAGCTGAGAAAGAGGCTTCTTGCCCTTTCAGGGCACCTGAGGAACCAGCTGAGCTTATGGAATGTGGAAGGTCAGTAAAAGAAGTGCCAGGTATGGGGCTGGGGCTTGTTCTCTGCTGAGCTCCTAGAATCTGTGCTTCAGAAAGAGGAAGAGCTGTAGGATGCTTGAGCTGAGTCTCTTCACCTGATTTTAAAAATCAGAAATTACCAGTGGGGCTGCAGGGACACTGAGGGGCAGAAGGTAGAAGTGATGCAGCCATGCAGAGATGCAGGGCAGGACTACAGGCTGGCCCAACACAATCTCCTACTAGGGATTCAGTGAACTCCTTTTCTGTCTAGAAAGTTCAGAAGAATTCCAGTATCAGTCTCTAAAGACCATCTCTATTTTACAACTTTTACTTCCTGGTGTCTGCCTCTTTAATACACTAGACTTTAGCAAGTAGGGATCTTTCCTCAAGATACTTGCTACCTTCATCTCAGTAGTGGTATTGAGGTTTATCCATGTTCTTTAATTCATCTCCGGGGTTAGAACGCTACAACACAATTTTTCTTCAATGCCTCTTTTTAGAAAATGTTTATCTAAAAGCTGCTATACCGGATTTTACTCAGCCAGTCTGGGGACAGAGCATCTCTGGTCCCTGACCTTGATAGCTTATTTTTCCAGGAAATACTACTGATCTCACCGTATGAGTGGCCTTTAGCTGCTTGATAGAGGAGCAAAATGTGACAGGAGCTTATGTTTTCAGAGGGTTACAGTTCTTAAGGAAATAGTTTTTTTCCCTGTGGTAAAATTCTGGATAAAGTGCTTAGCTGAAGAATGAACTCACTTGACTTATACTATTAAAAAAATACTCTGAAGTAATTTATTCTATTTTTGCTAGTGGAGGTTGATACCAGGCATCTGTGCAGTTTGAAAAGTGGTGCATAAAAATAATGCACAGAAAAAAACTGAAAAGCTGTAAATAACTGCGTTTTAAATCAACTAGGTATAATTAGAAATCTCTTTGGTAAATGATTTTTTTCCCTTCTTAAAGGTCTGTTGGTTTTGCATTCCATATTTTGTTTATCTTAAATTTTTGTACTTGTATTCTTTGGTGTTCTACTGTATTTCAATTTCACTAGTTGCTAATTAGCACGCTCACAATGTGGCTGTCCAGGTAAAGGAGGCCATTGTGCATGCAGTTGGCCTAAGAAAGCTGAAGGCTGAACACCAGAAGCTGAATTCAAGGGAAATGAAGAGCATTAGTGGGACTTTTCTGAACTTGTGTGGCCAGAATACTTTTTAAGACAAGTTAGGCTACTTCCTTGCAGCGTGCTCTGTACTATGCTTTGTTTGCAAGTAATCCTTTGTTGTACAGAGCCTTGAATACAGGCGGGAGTAATGTTTATTACTAAAAGCAATGCAAAGGATCTGGGCTTCTGCTGAGCCTCGTGCTGTGCCTGGCAGATAGTCAAGTCAGAGAGGGAGTCTTCTCTCTGCACACTTTTTTTTTTTTTAATGTGGCCAAGGTTTTCTCTTTTTGAAAGAGCGCCCTATCCCCTCCCTTTCTATGATCTATCAGTGCAGAAGGAGACTTGAGTTTGCCTTAATGTTCATTCCTACTGAAATCCTTTGGAGTCTTTCCTGGCTCTGAGTAGAGATGATGTCCTCAGGTGGGCCTCTCTGAGAAGGGAAACGTGTCTACAAAGGTGTCTCTTGCTAGACAACCTGTGTGCCAAATGGGTGAGTTGTGTTAGCAGCCCACTGTGGTGGCAATGGTTTTTCTTGTTGGCTTGTTCCTATGGCAGACGCCACGTGCTGTAAAGGCCATCAGAGCAACTAATGCGTTAATGTATTAACATTTTTGTATAGTTTTCCAGAGGTGTTTATTGGTCATACAGAGGACCTTGTCTGGAGGTATGGACACCTCTGATAGGATGAGACTGCAGAAATGTTATAATTCAGATCCTTAAGTGTTTCTGTAATTTTTGTTTTCATATAGAACAGAGGATTTCATCAAATTAAGTCCTGTGCTCCTCTTTGACACAGCTAACGTTACAGCTTCTACATTTTAATACCTGACAGTCTCTAGAAGAACAAATGCATTGCATTTTTTTTTAACTAGTTGCCTCTTGTGTACACTAGCAGTAGGGGGAAGCCACATAACAGAAAAAAAGGGTTCATTTTCAGAGCCATGGGAACATCAAAACTTGGAAAAAGAATTGGTTTTCTTTTTTGCTTTGCTACTTAAAGAAGATGCAAAAAGAGAAATTGAAAAGTCCTAGTGACTCCTCAAGAATTGGGTTTAGTGAAGGAGCTGGGCATTTAATAAGAGAAACCAACTAGCTCAGAAGTCCCATTCTTTACTGCTCTGACTGCCCAGTGATACTTCTTAGACCACAGCACAATGTCTTTAGGGTGGTGCTTATGGTTTCCATGCATGTTGCCTACTTGGGATAAACCTTCCCAGAGCCGCTGAGTAGCCTGAAATCGAACTGTGGTCTGTTCTTAGACCAGCACTGTTGCAGCTTCTGAAACCTGATGGTAGTTACGTTTTCTTTGGACTTCCTTTCTGCAGTGCGCTGTAATAAGTACACTGAGTATTTCAACTAAATGGTCTACATTGGTAAGTAGGCAACTACCAAAGAAAAGAGCAAACAGTTACTTTATGCAGCAAGTGTAATAAATGAAGTCCTGGCTAGTGCCCAAATATGATTTTCTGTTTGCTGTACTGCAAGACAGTGGAAGCTGTCAGAGGTTTTTTAAGAATGTTTCTCCAGTGCTCCCCTGGAGGCGAAGGTGCAGCCGGAGCCGGCGCTCTGCACTGCGTGCCCGGGAGCCAGCGCTGGCGCGGCCGAAGCTCCGCCGCTCCCGCCGGAGCGGCACGGCGCTTCCCCGGAGCTCCAAAGCCCTTCCCACGTGCAGGGCCCAAGCGCTGGAGACCAAGTACAGGTTACGTATGAGTCTGGTTCAGACACCTCTGTAGTTATAAAAAAAACTCGTCCTGCAACCCCAAAACTTTCCAGTTACCTTTTTGTGGATTTGAATCAAGTCTCAGGTAAATGTAAGTGGGCCTGCTGGCCTTCAGTAAGTGTCATATGTTTAAAAACAGACTAAAATCCTGCTTGACTTGTTTAGATTTCCATTTGAGTTCTCACATTTTCCTAATATGTTCAATTTGAGTTAAGATTTTTTATTTTTAACTCTTCACTAATTCAGGTAGTAGTATTTATTTCATTGTCATGCTAAGAGTAGTGAAAAAATATCCATTAATGTTTGTAAATATTGCCTGTGTCAATAAGCAAATTATTCTTCTACAATTTTTCCTTAATTCTAAATGGCTAAACTCTCTCTCTTTTTAATCTTTCTGTGACCAAATAGATCCCAGGGAAAATAAAATTAGGGGAGGATTTGTACTCAGCCATTTTTGTTGCATTAACTTTATATATTCTTTATATATTCTTTATATATTCTTTATATATTCTTTATATATTCTTTATATATTCTTTATATATTCTTTATATATTCTTTATATATTCTTTATATATTCTTTATATATTCTTTATATATTCTTTATATATTCTTTATATATTCTTTATATATTCTTTATATATTCTTTATATATTCTTTATATATTCTTTATATATTCTTTATATATTCTTTATATATTCAAAAAAAAAACCTCTGAAAACCCTCGAAGACCCACCCTCTATCCCCTTAAGCAAAGAGACTGAAAATGTTCTCTTAAGTTTTGAGAGTAAAGTTGACTCGCTGTATCTCCCTGTCCCCCCGATGACTCCCCCCAAACCGACAGGTAGGAATTTGATTATTCCAAGCTCTTCCTTCTTACTACTTAAACAGCATTTCAGATTACCAGTAATCCAGCCATTTTATTTAACTCTACAATGCAAAAAGAAAAATCTTTCACCTTTCACTTCTGTTGTGAAATGGGAGAATTGATTTGTTCCGAGTTCTCTAGCTGCCTTTTGACCCCCTGTCCTTCAAACATTCTGTTATGATGATAGTAGTATGTATTTTAGCCTATCTGGTAGTGATCTGCACATGTGCTTTCACTACTTCGAATTTAAAAATGTAATACAACCCACAATAAAATCAGTAAATTAATAGCTTATAAACCAGAATAGAAAAGTAATCATTTCAAACAGATATAAATGATTCATTCATGGGATAAAGGATTCTTCATCAAACACGCAGTAGCTCATTAATATGTTACTGCTAAGCCTTTTTTTTTTTTTTTTAATAGCAAGTTATAACTATAAGCACTTACTGTTATGGCCTGGAATCTTTCCTTCAGCAATTCAGCTTCCTCCATTCTAGAAATCAAAACAGACAGGTAGTGAAGGAAAACAGAATGAAACCATAAGCAAAAAGCCTCTTGGCGGGGCTACAAAAACGCAGAGGTGATTTGATCCACTTCCAGAGCAGACAGAAGGCAGAATTTTTGACTGATCAAGAGAGTCCCTGAGCAGAGGAGCAGATCGGTGCAGACGGACACATGTACTGAGGGTGTGTAGAAGAGGCGGACGTGGAGAGCGCTGGCATGAGTTGACTGACAAGTTGGAACAGTGGAGCACAAGCCCTTTTCCTTCAGAAGCTGCCAACTCTTTGTTTCAGTGTGCTCGCTTAGCATAGAGCCATAGCCTCTTTAACTGTTAAATGCCCAAACCAGAATGCTCTAAGACCATGGCATATGGATACTTTAATTATGTTGCTATTCCTGTTTCTTCCCCTCATGTGTATCTGTGGTTAAAAAAAAATACATGAAATATTCCTCTTTCTTAGAGGTATATTTTATCTGTATGTTTTAACTTGTGATGTTAGAGCTGCAGATATCTGGCATTTGTTGAGATGGCACTTTGAACTGAATTTCCTAGATCAATTTTCTATGTTCATAGCTGGAAGAATGTTTTAGATCCGCTAATATAAAGTAGAAATAATAATGAAGCAATCTGTCAATAAGTGCAAGTGTTAATCTGTGCATATTATTGCTCAGCAACCCAGGACTCAGTGGAAGCTTTGTCTAAGTAAGGATTTTGGGATAACCACTTCAGCATTACCAGGATGAGTCTAAAACGCTAGTGCTGTGTTAGGTGAATCCAAAATGCAGTGGCTCTTGCACTGGATTTCTGTTCAGCCAACTTGAAGGTTTTTTTTGCTGTGGACTTTTCCTGAAACAGCATTATGTTCCTTAAGGGATGGCATGCGTGTTTTGACCTTTCCAGTTACATGAGTGGGAGTCAGTCTTCCACAATCTATCTAGGAAGCTTGCAAAACAAGTGGAGCTGCTTCTAGTAAAATCCAGTCATGGAAGAAATCCTGGCGGATAAGCAAGATAAAGCTGAATTCAAACAGCACTGAAATGTAATGTGAATCTAGAATCCTTTTGTACCCTCAGTATCATGTAACTTTAGTCTCTTTAAGGACACTAACATGAGAGTCAGTCAGCACTTTTTTTTTTTTCTCTCCTTTCTCCTCTGAGATGACTCAACTCAGCGGGATTTAGTGAGAGGTTTTACTTTACATGCGAATTGAATGACCTGAATCTTGCTGGCAAATCAGGTTGATTGCTAGGAAAGTCTAAGAGCTACAGAGTTCAACACTTGATGGTGAGGTTACATCCTCAGAATCAAATATGCATCATTATTTTAATTTCTGCCTTTCTACCATGACATTCCTAGCCCGTGCACCCAAGCACAGTGTTGCCATCCACACTGATTATGGATGCATTGGTTTTGTTTACGTTGAAATCCACCCTGAGGTGGGTTAGTTCAAACTTGCAAAGACCCTCTGTCAATTCTCTAGCTAACTGTTGTTTGCTTCTTTTTGTTTGTTTTTATATTAGTATGTGCTTCATTTGGTCAATGCTCAAAATTAAAGCATTGTCACAAGAAAGGTAAATGGGAATTTCAAAGGTAAATAAACCAGAGTATATCAAGAGCTAAATTACATGGGAATTTAAATGTGTTCAGCTTTGGATTTGAGAAGTTTAAATAACCCACTGAATTAAGTACGTACATTCTTTCTACAGAAACTATTAGAGAGAAACTGTCCTCCTTTGATCTTTCATAAGTTTATGTAGCTTTCCTTTAAAGCTCCACTAATGTTTATTACCTTCTACTATGCCTAGTACATTTTCAATAAAATTTATTTTTCATCTTTATATTCTGTAGAACTCATTCTAAGGTTTATAGGCTTATCTGAATCCCAGCATGTTTAGAAATGCACGTATCATTAAAACCAGCAAATAATAATATAACCTCTAAGGAAGTGTGTTTTGGGTCAAAATTGATCCTCTAGCATAAGTGAGATTCCATTCTCAGGGGATGGAGGAATAAGACTGGTATTTCAAGTTCAAATCAATGGGATTGATTTTGCCTTCCATTGAATTTCTATGATGTATGAATATTTTCCAAATATTATACTCAAAAATTATTTCAGTGCCTTTAAAAGCATTGCTTGGGGACAACTGCCCATTTTCAGGCTTGAAGAAAATTTAATGGATCTTTCCC